ATTACTGAGCTAAAATCCAGCCTCTTTATCAGATTTCTTAATCGGATTTCTAGATCGGAGTATGGTGTTTACATGACCATTTGAATAATCGGATAACTGCAGAAATCCAATTATGATCAGATTACTGAGTGCATGTATACGCAGTGTTGGGGTTCATCCTAAAGTCAGGACAGTATTTAGGAGGTTTAGTCTAGTTAGGATGTTTGTGTGATGCTGTTTTCTTATCTGGAGTTCATGATGAGATTAGGAAGTTAGGAACTGTTATTCTGTAACAGCTACTGTCCTAAATTCAGTCCGTACTGAAGTCGTCATGGAGACTAAACAGATCAGATTTCAGACATAAGAAGCTTCTGTAATACGACCCCTACGTTTTTTTATTTCCTGCGTCTCGCTCCAGATTATTCACTCTTCACATATTTACATATTATATTTGTAAGATCTTTATCTAATACGTAGCTCATCACTTCAGGAGTTATGTGATTCACGGCCACTGTTAAACAAAAACTATTAAACAAAAAAAACAGTTAAACATTCTTTGCCACATATGCATTTACTTTAGGCATGTACTGAAATTTCAGCCAATTCAATTTTTCTGCAGATTGTAAATTGTGCTTATGGTTTTCGGCCAAAAGAAATAAAGGCTGAAACGTTTGGCTAAAATGTATAAGATTAAATAATCAATGAGGCATCAAAATCTAACACTTAAAAAATAATCTGAAGAGTAATGAAAATGAGAAATAGTGATTAAAAATGCTGTTTGTTTCTACTGCAAAGATCAGCACAGACACACTCGAACAGTTTGATCCACTGCAGCTGTGTTCAATACTCTTTAACTTACATGCTTTTCTGCATTAACTGATTTAATTACATTATTTAATGGAAATCCCAAACACTGAGTAATTCAATGTATTTTGGTAACTTTTTTTTTACCTCTGGTGCTTAAAATTGTTCCTGTAAAAGAGTGCATTGGTACGATCCTGCTGGTGTGGGTTCACCGCTGTTTCTTTTCTAAATGACAAACACTAAAGCGGCTTGTCTGGAGAAACTGCAAGATGAGAGTCCCAAAGTCCACATTCTTTACATATTATAACAGTGATTTTTCCGCCGTTATAGTGGAAGAGCTCTAGAATTGAGCATTAGTTGCCTTTGGGAAACCATGATTAAGTTTATATAATTTTATGACTTAATATTTAATATAATTTAGCAAGCAGTTTAACTTTAAATTAGTCCTCTAGTTCTCTCAGTTCACCTTTACAATATGGCAAATTATATATATGACTACTTTCACATTACAAGCCTCGCTGCTCAAATCCGTTTTTTTGGACAAATCCGATGTATCTGACACGAAAGTTCACACTTGTTTAGGTAAGTGACTCAATTCTGTCATTAATGTGAACGAACCGGCGTCCTGAAATGACCTAATGTCACGTTAATGAATCACGTGCGTCACGTTCATCATCAGCAAACAGACTAACGAGCAGAACGAGCTTCGCTGAGAAGATCATTAACTCTGATCAGCTCTCAGCTTCATTATTAGAGCGAGACGAAGGAGAAAAAGGTGAGATGAGCTGCTTTTCCACCGTTTACAGGCTTTAACTTCTGTTCGGCGCTGCTGCCATGGTAACACTGAATGATGGTGCAGTAGAGAAAAGCACATGAATTCCGATCTGAGCGTCACATTAAGGTCACATGACCACAAATCGGATACGTATCCGATGTAGGACCACATATGAAAGTGACTCGGGTCGGATTTGAAAAGATCAGATTTGTGTCCACACAGCTCTGAAAACATCAGATCTGAGTCACATTAGGGCAAAAAATCAGGTTTGTGCCACTTCAGCCTGCTAATGTGAACGTAGCCTAAATGAACCCTTTCTTCCAGTGTTGGTTTTCGGGCGAGTGTGTCCTGAATTTCAGCTTCAGTCAAGAATTCTAACTTCAGTGCATTATAACATTTCTGGTAGGTCTGTATACGTAATGCAACTGACCAATGACAAGCCAGAAAAATGCCAAGGGTAAACAAATCCATGTGCTTTTAAAACGATCCATTTTACCATTCACACCCATTCACCATTCACCCAAGACTAACTGTGCAACATCTGGAGAACCTGAGTACAGTGAGAATTTCGAGTATAAACCCGCCGTACTGTTCTGCAGTGCCTACTGTTGCAGTCACAAGATCACAATGCTAATTGGTGTACATAAGCTTCCAATATCTGTTAGCTACATTAGCTCTGTAGCTCCAGTGTAAACGTAAAGAAGGAAACCTCAAACACCAAACATGCCCTGGATGATAAACTACACTTGTAGCAGGCAAACGATTGTGTAAATTACATTAACAGCGAAGGAATCCAACCCCAAAAAACCTCTTTAAAAAGATGATTCTTCAAGGTTTCTTCAGTAAAGAAAATGGTTCCATATAGAACCATAACACTCCCAGAACCCTTTGCATGATTAAAAAGTTCTCTGCATCACAAAAAGGTTATTTTGTTACAATGTCTCTTTTCAAAAAGGTTCTATATAGAACCATCTACAGCACATTCTCCATCAATCTGAAGAACCTTTCACAATGCAAAGAGCCCTTCAACCATGCAAAGGGTCCTTTAAGTGTTCACAGTTCTATATAGAACCATTTTCTTTAGTAAAGAACCTTTGAGGAACCATCTTTTTTTGAGTGTGTAGAACAGCTTCTTCACACAAACCTCAGCTGTTTTCCTCAATAATATGCGTTCAGGACTGCAATCAAATTAGAGCCCCAAATCACTTAATTTGGTTATATCAGTCTGACTCCACAGAGGTGAGTCTGTCGACTGAGGAGAAAACAGCTTGAGGCCCAGCTGTGTTGCCTTCCATGAACATCTATCAGCTGGAATTTGACTGTGGAATTTGTCCATCAGTGTTGTGCAACAGTGTTCAGAGCAGGTTAGAAATCTGGAAGAAAGTGTTGCCACGTATTCAGTTCTGATCATCTCTCAAATACTCCAGTATAAGTAGAAGTATACAACAGTAAGTTCCGGCCACGCAAGCTGATTGGTTAAGAAGCGTTCTAAGCGTGCAGTTATTTCACCATAACATCACGGGTTTTTCACAAACACTAGCCATGTTTACATGCAGCCTAATAATCCGTTAATAATCCGACTTATAGCTCAATCGGAATAAAATACGTCCATGTATACACTTCAATTGGAATAGTCTAGTCCGATTGAGGCCATAGGGAATACAGTTTCCATTCGATTGATCGAGGTGGTTAATCCTGTAAATAATCTGTTAAATAGAAGAATAATATCCGTGTAAACGCCTGTATCTGATTACATTCCCTATCGGAAAGTTTAAGTACGTTCTGATCATGTTCGTCACGTCATTGTGAAAGTTTATACCGTTCAACATGGCGGAGCAGAAACTGTTCATGCTTCATCTGTTCAAGTTCATGCTCTGATCTTTAAAAGACGGCGGTGGGACGGACGTCCAGCTTATGTGTCTCAGAACACGACGTCTTCCTCTCGGCCTTCTTTAATAAGGACATGTGAAGGACGTTTTCCTGAGTCTGACATCATTTTAAAGTAAATAAAAACACAAGCGCTGCTCACTGCTGCTCGTCTCACTCTGACTGGACTCACGTGATGTTGGCTGTCATGGTAACGTTTACTCTAAGTGGTTCTCTGCGCATGTAAACAGAGATTTTCATCAGATTGTTGAACAGAGTGAGCATAAACACCTCAGTCTTAATCTGTAATCGGAATGTATTCAATTGGATTGGCAAAAATCGTTGCGTGTAAACACAGACACTGTATCACTCCGCTGAGACGCCGTTACTAAGCAAAATCTTTGACGGCTGTAGGAGACGCTCAAGACATTTGAACGTTTTTACTACTCACTTTGGGCAGAAACAGAAAATGGACACTTGTAAGATCACATTTGACCGACAGCCGATTTGGTCAGACTCTGAAGATGAGACGACACTAAATTCCCAAACTGTCATCACCACTGAGCAGCTTTTCAGTCGGCAGCTGTGACAGAAGAACAGCTGAACAACCTGGAATCAGCCAGAAATGAACCCAACACCATTCGCCAAACGTGTAGTCTGATCTTCAGAGTCTGACCAAATCGGCTGTCGGTCAAATGAGATCTTAAAAGTCTCAGTGGAGTGATAGTGTTTGTGGAAAAAAACGTGATGTTATGGTGAAATCTCTTCTCAACCAATTAGCTTGCGTGGCCGGAACTAACTGTTGTATAATTGATGATATAAGCCGGCTAGACGGTGGAGATAAACCTATAATTTCTGAGATGTATTATTTGCACTCAGTCACCTCAATCAACGTGACTGGACGCTGTGTTAGTAATGATGCACTGAAATGAACTTTTTTTGATGAAACTAAAATTCAGGACACACTCGTACCAAAACTAATACCTAAAAAAAAATAAATAATTTTATTTCTTGTTATTTGGTTTTGAATTAATGTTAAAAACACTTTTAGAATTGATTAAAGTTATCCTTTTAATAAGACAAATGTCAGCTGACGGTGAACGAAAGGAGCCTAAAAGTTTTGGTGGCTGAAATTTTGGTGCATCCTTACCAGGAAGAGGAAGAAAAAAAAGCAAATAAACAAACAAACAAAAAAAATGATTTCATTTTAATTCTACAGTTCTCTAATTGTATTCTACACAGTTTTGTTTGGCTCAATAAAAGTTAAACAGAACTTTAGTGCCTGCTGTGCTGCCCTCTAACAAAATAAACCCCAAAAACCACAACTTCTAGAGTTTCAGGGGAAAAAACCCAGATATTTGAGTGTGGGTGTGTCCGGAGCATAAGCCACACCCCCTCTCCACTCACTTTACTCTAATAGGCTGCACTCAGATGCCTAGTTTGATCAGTGACAGTGGTTTCAGTGAAAGACGGTAAATGACAGGCGCTCTGTGGAGTGAGGAGGTGTTTCACACTTTAATTTTATACTGTATGGAAACCGAAACAAGGTACAAACTAGAAACCGAGGTTTCCTTACCCTCTCCAGGTCTCTGAACTCTTCATCAAGCTTCGTTCCCTCTGCTCCACCAACCTTCTCACTCACCATCTGTAGGAAAGAGTGTTAATCATATCGATCATAAAGGCCGAGTGATACAGAGTCAAATCCAAACCATCCCATGAAATCCATAATGATTATTTTATGAATTTGATACCATCGAGTCAAGCCTGTACAACAAAATAAAAATATGAATTAATTCACTTATTTAGTTGAACCTATAACTGTCCTATACATGGCCACAAATGCATTATCTAGCACAATACCTACATTTAGAGCCGGTTATTCATTCAGCCTAATGAGAAACTGTAGAACAGACTCAGTTTATATCACAATACCTACATTTAGAGTCGGTTATTCATTCAGCCTAATGAGAAACTGTAGAACAGACTCAGTTTATATCACAATACCTACATTTAGAGTCAGTTATTCATTCAGCCTAATGAGAAACTGTAGAACAGACTCAGTTTATATCACAATACCTACATTTAGAGCCAGTTATTCATTCAGCCTAATGAGAAACTGTAGAACAGACTCAGTTTATATCACAATACCTACATTTAGAGTCAGTTATTCATTCAACCAAATGAGAAACTGTAGAACAGACTGAGTTTATATCACAATACCTACATTTAGAGTCAGTTATTCATTCAACCTAATGAGAAACTGTAGAACAGACTCAGTTTATATCACAATACCTACATTTAGAGTCAGTTATTCATTCAACCTAATGAGAAACTGTAGAACAGACTCAGTTTATATCACAATACCTACATTTAGAGTCAGTTATTCATTCAGCCTAATGAGAAACTGTAGAACAGACTGAGTTTATATCACAATACCTACATTTAGAGTCAGTTATTCATTCAACCTAATGAGAAACTGTAGAACAGACTGAGTTTATATCACAATACCTACATTTAGAGTCAGTTATTCATTCAACCAAATGAGAAACTGTAGAACAGACTGAGTTTATATCACAATACCTACATTTAGAGTGAGTTTTATTTTGAAATTATGTATTTATCTCGTATTAGTGTGAAAGGTCACGCTGTTAGTATAGATTAGGTGTAGTTTTTCTCATCGTCATTATTTCCAAGCTGCCTAGTTTTGATTAGCCACAACAAAACAGTCCAGATGTCACAGCTCTATACACAGGAAACTCAAGTAAGCTGCACACTCTGAAATAATTAATGTAATAAAAGTAGAAAATTCGCCCTGCAGTCATTTTTTTCTTTATAAAAGCACATATTAACCATGGACGATGTGTTTCCAAGTAAATTTCAAAGCAGTTACTGAGCAATTCATAGTGCTGACTGGATACCAAGTTATAATATTAATAACTGAATAACTAAACCATTAAAATCTGAGGTTTTACATCTTACAACGTTCAGTAATTACATAGAAAACAATGCAAACTGGCTGAGTAATTCTTATATTATAGGAGTGAGGGATGGAAGCCTGGATCCTCCCCGGTGGCTCCAAGCCATTTAATACGTAAAATTCACACTAATAAACAGAATGAACTGCATTTCCTAATCTGGCATTTACATCTCAACCAACGCTTAATAAACCAGAATCAAAACCAACAGAATTAATCGGCCACACTGCTGTGCTACTTAAACAGCAGAGATGGACTGAGACCACTTTTTCCCTTCCAGTTAACTAATCCTTAAGTACTGGCCGATACCGATACTAACTCTATGTAACCTAACTCACCTATAAGTCCTGATATTTATTCAATTACATCTTTAAAATACTTTATTTTGGTAAAATCTATGTTCTGCATAACACATAAAACACTCAGCTTGGCTAGATGACATTTACTTGTTGGATTATATTTATCAGAAGCTTAAGAAATCTTATTTTTGTTTAGTTACTGTATATATTTAGTATTTGCTATTATATAAACAGTAATAAGAACCACACTTAACAACTTTAGTAAATATAAAATTTCTTTATTGTGCAGAACCGTTAAACACAGAGCTGAACAGTAAACACATGATCCTGTGGTGTTTACACATCAGCACACAGCAGCTTCTCTGGCTCTAAAACGGAGCTGAATGTTGTTTCACATCCAAATTTCTTGAGTCGTTTGTCTCACATGAGCGTCTTGCTCACTTGCGCTGCAGTTCAGTAAATATCACCGTCATTCACGCTGTCAGAATCAGTGACTTTCAGTGTTTTTTCTAGCTTGGTTGAAGCAACGAGCCGAGTGATACGGCTGACTGACGGACGCTCAGGCCCGGCAAGTGGGCTGCCATGCTGAAGGCTAAATCGAGGCTAAAGGTTATCATTACTCCGAGAGTCTGGCGGTTCCTTATGCTCTCTCAGTAACATTAACTCAGACTGTTAGTGACCACACAGCGGCAGACGAGTGATTACTAAAAGAAGCAGCTCAGCTGTTCTGGCCAGCGGCTCTGTTAGCGTGTTTTACCACCAAAACTGCAGTTACTGATTCTGCCATGAGCATTTTTACTGCTGCCAGTCGTCCCACATTGCCGAAGTTCTGTCAGAAATTGCTTCGTGGTGTCGGTCATGGTTATCGGTATCCCCATCATCGATACTGATACAGCGTTTATGTGCCAGTATTGGCTCTGATACCGATACAGTATTAATATTGGTGAACACTATTAAACAGGACAAAGTTCATGGCCTAAAACACAACGGCTACAGTCATTTTTTCCTCCGTGAGCTTACTTTCACTTTGAGTCTGCATAAACAGTGCACAGTGCACACGCTCAGAGTCCAGCTCAGAAACTCAGTAAGAGCCACCAGGATTCTCTCACACTGATCAGAGCGATAGAGTAGGATTACAGCTCTGCATTGAGTTACAGTTGGAATGGAGCAGTAACCAGTTTTAATGCTGTACTGTGGTGTAAAGCCTAATGATAATCAGATCACTTCAAATTTTATAAACTTATTAAATGTTCATATCTGAAGTTCAGCCCATTCAGTGTAAATGTGTATAACTGATGTAAATGTGTTGTACTGCTATGGGCTTCCTGCTGAGCACACGCCAGGTATAACCTGAACCGTAAACAGAAGCAGTGCTGGGATACAATTTCATATTTATTTAAATTACAAAGTCTCTAAATATGATGTCTGTTATGATGTGTAGCATATGTCAAAGGGCTCATATAATACATATATTTTTACATTTTAGATTTGTTTCTGAGGTCCATTTATGACATTTGTGTGGTTTTATGCAGCAAAGAGATCAGAAGAGAATTTTTACAAAACCCCAAAAAATTAGAACCTCTTAGAACTAAACAAGGTGTTTCTATTATTGTTTCTTTAAGACTGATACATGCAAATGAGCTCTGTTCTGATTGGCTGCTCTGCACTATGCCTCATTCACAAAGCGGTCCAGACTGAAGCACTTCTTCAGCGTGAATGGGCGGAGCTAAACTGCTGTTGGCTGAATAAGTGGATACACAGCCGTATGCAAGTCCCTGAGCAAATTCCAGGTTTTGTTTCTTTGCATACTTTGTTAGCCCACTTTTACCCTGTTCTTTAGTGGTCAGGACCCCCATGGACCCTCACAGAGCAGGTACTATTTGGGTGGTGGATCATTCTCAGCACTGCAGTAACACTGACGTGGTGGTGGTGTGTTAGTGCGTGTTGTGCTGGTCTGAGTGGATCAGACACAGCAGTGCTGCTGGAGTTTTTAAACACTGTGTCCACTCACTGTCCACTCTATTAGACACTCCTACCTTGTCAGCCCACCTTGTAGATGTAAAGTCAGAGACGATAGCACATCTGCTGCTGCACAGTTTGTGTTGGTCATCCTCTAGTCCTTCATCAGTGGTCACAGGACGTTGCCCACAGGACTGGATATTTTTGGTTGGTGGACTATTCTCAGTCCAGCAGCGACACTGAGGTGTTTAAAAACTCCAGCAGCACTGCTGTGTCTGATCCACTCAGACCAGCACAACACACACTAACACACCACCACCACGTCAGTGTTACTGCAGTGCTGAGAATGATCCACCATCCAAATAGTACCTGCTCTGTGAGGGTCCATGGGGGTCCTGACCACTGAAGAACAGGGTAAAAGGGGGCTAACAAAGTATCAGAGAAACAGACGGACTACAGTCTGTAACTGTACAACTACAAAGTGCACCTATATAGTAAGTACTTTTGTAACATGAACAATGTACATGTACAGTACCTTTGGACCTTACAGTATAAATGGATGGAGGCGTAAAACTAACAAAGTTTACATACTACGAGACAAACTTGGTCAAATTTTGATTGGTCATGTTATGGGCCCTTTAAAAATACTGCTCTTAAATCAAAACGCGTGATAATTCTCCTCCCTGATATCCTGACAGGAAATTTTTAAGCAGAAAAGCACTTTTACTGTACGCTCGTCCCTCGTCCAGCACATGAGTGAATCCACTTTACGCTCCCTCTTCCCTCTTCGTTTTCCACCCCTCCTCTTCTCTTTCCTACAGAGACATTCCTGCTACAGTCAGCACTTTTAAGTGTGTGTGCTGTGCTCTCTAGCTGCAGTGAGCGAGGCCTACTTCCACTCTCAAGGTCCCCATTACGTTCTTAAAGTTACCCGTCAGGTGTTTCCACTGTGAACCGTTTACAGTTGTGGCTTCATGACCCAAAACGTCTTCCATGAAGGAGACTAAAGCTACAGGAAAGAGAGTGAAGACAAACACTCGCCTCTTTTCTCCTCAGATACACCCAGCAGTGCCAGCTTTGAGGAGCAACACCCAACAGGGGAGGCCGAATGTTTAGTTTCAGTCTCTGCAAACACGCACTCGTCGCTTCATCCCCCTCGTCCCGCTCGTTTAAGGCCCTGTGTGCTGGAACAATGACAGCGCTGCGTGTTTTCGAGGCTACGTCAGCTGAACGCTAATCTCAAACATATGCTCTTTTATGAGGAAAAACTTGGGATACATGATATAAACAGCATATTTTTTCCTCCGTGCCCTACTTCTTTTTTTAAGGGATGTATTTAAAGGGCCCATAGCCTGCATTTTTTCCCCTTAGGTCCACTCATGATGTTTGTGTGGGTTTGCTTACCAAAAATA